AATAATGAGTATGATGAATCGGAAGAGAAGACGATGCAAATATCTATTTGGATATTGAGTAAAAGTTATCGCATAGCGATCATAAACCAACCATCTATGAGTCCATAATCCATCTAAGAAAGACTAAAGAGTAAAGCAACAAATAAGATAAAGATACGAGATACATCATACATCAAACATCATATAAGCACTAATCTTGCTGCATGAAAGAATTCACATTGCTTCATGGGTCTCATGGAGTCATGGTCATGGATTCAAGATCTACAATCCTTATATAGGCCATTTTTCATTTTGAGAAAGTTTGAACAGTTCAAAACAAGTGTGTGACATAGTTTTAGAAAGCTGTATGAGATTTAAGAATTTGTGACTAGTGTTTGATAAAACTTTCTCAAATGGGAAAATGGCTATGTAAAATTGTGTATCCTGAGATGATCAAACTTGTATTGAGTTTTTCATCTGAGGTCATTTAGTGTCTCATTTGAGCAAGTTTGACCAAGTCAAATTTGGTCAAATGAAAAAACAACACTTTGACTCTAGTATTATGATGGCTAAATGACTTCAAATTGAAAAGTTTTGAATACCAAGTTTGTTCAACTCATCAAGATCTACAATTCTTGTTTTGGTCAACTTTCCATTTGAGATAGTTTGGACGGTCAAATTTGTGATTTTAAATTTCGATGCTTACAAACTAGTTTTGGAACCCTAGATTGTCTCAAATTGAAAAGTTTTGAATCAAGTTCGTTCAGCTCATCAAGATCTACAATCCTTATATAGGCTATTTTTTCCAAAATGTAGTTCAAATTTCACAAGTGTGTGACATAAGCCTATGAGATTCAAGAATTTGTAACTAGTGTTTGATAAAACTTTCTCAAATGAGAAAATGAGCTAGTAGCTGAGATGATCAAACTTGAATTCAGTCATCTGAGGTCATTTAGTGTCTCATTTGAGCAAGTTTGACAAGTCAAATTTGGTCAAATGGCTGTGACTCTAGTATTATGAACTCTAAATGACTTTAAATTGAAAAGTTTTGAATACCAAGTTTGTTCAACTCATCAAGATCTACAATTCTTGTTTTGGTCAACTTTCCATTTGAGATAGTTTGGACGGTTCAAATTTGTGATTTTTAAATTTCGATGCTTACAAACTAGTTTTTGAACCCTAGATTGTCTCAAATTGAAAAGTTTTGAATACCAAGTTTGTTCAGCTCATCAAGATCTACAATCTTTATAGGCTATTTTTTCATTTGAAAGTTTGAACAAAATGGTTCAAAAAACATAGTTTTTTGAGATTCAAGAATTTGTGACTAGTGTTTGATAAAACTTTCTCAAAGAAAATCAATTTCAATTGTATATCTTGCTGAGATGATCAAACTTGTATTTTTTATCTGAGGTCATTTAGTGTCTCATTTGAGCAAGTTTGACCAAGTCAAATTTGGTCAAATGAAAAAATAACACTTTGACTCTAGTATTATGAACTCTAAATGACTTCAAATTGAAAAGTTTTGAATACCAAGTTTGTTCAACTCATCAAGATCTACAAGTTTTGTTTTGGTCAACTTTCCATTTGAGATAGTTTGGACGGTTCAAATTTGTGATTTTAAATTTCGATGCGTGTACAAACTAGTTTTCGGAACCTAGATTGTCTCAAATTGAAAAGTTTTGAATACCAAATTTGTTCATCTCATCAATATATACAATCCTTATATAGGCCATTTTTCATTTGAGAAAGTTTGAATAAAATATAGTTCAAATTTCACAAGTGTGTGACATAGTTTGAGAGTCTATTTGAGATTCAAGAATTTATGACTAGAGGGAAAACTTTCTCAAATGGAAAAATGATTAACAATTGTAGATCTTGCTGAGATTTCAAAGTATTAGCTTTTCATCTGAGGTCATTTAGTGTCTCATTTGTTCAAGTTTTTCAAATTTGGTCAAATGAAAAACAACACTTTGACTCTAGTATTATGAACTCTAAATGACTTTAAATTGAAAAGTTTTGAATACCAAGTTTGTTCAACTCATCAAGATCTACAATTCTTGTTTTGGTCAACTTTCCATTTGAGATAGTTTGGACGGTTCAAATTTGTGATTTTTAAATATGCTTACAAAATTGAACCCTCAAATTGGGAGTTTGAATACCAAGTTTGTTCAGCTCATCAAGATCTACAATCCTTATATAGGCTATTTTTTCATCCATACTAGTAGCTGCAATGCAATGACGAGATATAGTGGAGGAGGTATGAGGAGTCTAATGGGTTGTTAAATTTGGTAGATAAGGGATGTCCATAATACTATCAATGGATCTTCTAGAGAAGCAAAAAAATACTTTTGTTGGGGACTCAAGATCAATTTCCATCCGGACAAAATGAGTTGTACACACATGGAGATGGGGCCTTTCCTTTTAGATATCTAATAATTCATATGCAAAAAAAATATGAATAAGGGAAACATATTGAAAACGATTTCAAAACTCGAAGCATTGAAGAAGTGACATGCACGGAGGAGGAAGGCTTGTTTTGATTAATTCTGTTTTGAGTAGCCTCCTCATGTTCATGTTTTCCTTTTTTGAGGTACCTTGAGGGATTATGAAAAAACTAGATTACTTCAGCTCTCGGCAAGAAGAAATATAGATTGACTAAACGGGAGATAGTACGTACGTCGAAAGACCGAGGAGGGTTGGGAGTCTTAAATTTAGATGTCCATAATAAGTGTCTTCTAAGCAAATGGTTCTTTAAGTTGGTACATGGAGATGGGGTGTTTGGCAACAGATGCTTAAAAATAAATATCTAAGGGACAAAACGTTGACTCAGGCTCAATACATGTCTGGAGATTGTTTTGGGCTGGCCTTATGAAGGTAAAGGGGGAGTTTCTTTCGCTGGGTAAGTTTGATCTAGGTGACGGATCTCAAGTGCGATTTTCGGAGGACGCGTGGATAAGACCGTATCCACTAAAATTTATCTTTCCGGCACTATATAATATTGTTAGGAAAAAGTGCATCTATAAGAACGGTGCTATCCACGGTACCGTTGAACGTAGCCTTTTAGGAGATCGCTGGTAGGCGTTAATTTACAAGCATGGCACGACGTGGTTGCGATGGTTGCCAATGTATAATTAACAAACCAAAGAGATTGTTTTGTGTGGGGGCTACATCAGAATGGATTGTTTTTAGTTAAATCCATGTACAGAGAACATTATTGATAGCAGAAGATGTCCCTTATAACACCATAATCTAGAAATTAAAACTACCTCTCAAAATCAAAGTCTTTATATGGTATTTATATAAGGGAGGGATAATCTAGTACGACGGTAGTGGCAAGGAGATAAAAAGTGTTGTTTCTGTTCTTCGGATGAGTCTATACAATATTTACTCTTTGACTGCCATTTTGCTAAATTTATGTGGAGAATTATCCATGTTTCCTTTAATTTAATATCTCCAACTAGCATACATAATATGTTTACAGGTTGGTTGCAAGGGTTAAATAGAAAACTGAAATCTCATGTACTTGTGGGAGCTAGTGCATTATGTTGGGCGTTGTGGCTAACTAGGAATAATATTATGTTTGACAAGGTCCTAGCACCATCTTATCTGCATTATTGACCTATTGGATTAGGTCCTGGTTCCTAATGCAGGAGGAGGAGGATCGATAGATGATGAAGATGGGTTGCAGGAATATTGAAACAACCACGATGGAGGTGTTTTCAGGACATGGTTGGAGATTCAACAATAGAATTTGTTTTTAGATGTGTCTTTTAGAAACTTTAATTGTGTTATATTTGCCTCGAAACTTTGTTTTTGAGATTCCTTGACAAAAGTACTCTTGTGTATAATAAGGAATTGCTATATGCATTGGTCGATGCAAGAAGCTAGGATATTAAATATATTCTCTTTTCTAAAAATGCTTTGACTCTCTAAAAAATTAAAATAACTTATAATTTAGAATGAATGGAGTAATCGTAAAGCTCCAATTTTTAACTGCAAGGAACATCAAAGGACTTTGAACTCCCTCTATTTATCCAAGAGATGGAAGGGCAGAGCTTTTAATTCACTAAAAGGTTCTTCTAACGTAATGAAATCACCTAAAAAAGTGAAGCCACTAAGCCAGCCCTCACCCCTTTTAATGCTTAGAATGAGAAGTTCACATTCAAATATTTTATACATTCTAATTTTCATGTCACCCCAAGAGATCTATTCTATTTGATTTGCGGTGGTATCTGAAATTAAGAACATGCAAACCAATCAATGATTGATCGTAATATAGTGGATTTATCACATAATGGAAAAAGTGGATAGGGTCTCTCTGAAATGCTTGGCGCCTCGCATTTAATGGACGGAGTTTAGATCATCGGTCCTACAATCTCTGTCGACCACTCATCTTGCTCGGATTAACTCACCAAAGTCTGCTTTCACCCACCTGGTTAGATAGCCGAGTGCCTATACAAGTTAGAAATAGATGCGGTGTCTATAATACTCTTTTTTCTTTTTCCCCTTCAATACACTTCTAGCGACTTTATAGAAAGAGAGCATAAATATAGATAGACAAATACTTTTCTTTCCATCCACAAAGTTATTTATCAATCCTCACTTCTATTTCTTTCTAGTCTGTTTTATTTAACTTATGCTAAATTATTGGTAGACCCGACGAAAAGGATAACTGCCTAACTCGTATCCAACCAATTGCGAATAATTGTATCCGAAGGAATCACCTTTCAAGACAAGTGTTGAAATATATATTTTTTCTCAGAAAAAGAAAGGAGAGTTTTCATATTGAAGTAATTGCCGATGCGACTGAAAAGAATAGCAATAAAGACGTTGCGATTGCAAATGACGCAATCGATACGTAGCACGTGAAAATTCTTTCTCTTTGTCTCTCTTTGGCATTTTTTTTTCACTCCTCCCATCGAATTAGCAATCCAAGAGTCGCTGGCCGCCGTCTCCATTAGCGCCAAGATTCTCGCCGGCGTTCTCTTTCAAAGGGGATCTGAACTGAGGAGGGCGCCGTGATGCGGCCGGGGTACGGAGACGCACGACAGCCGCTGCCGGGGCGGTACGGGCTGTACCACTTCGGCACCAGCGGCGCCGCCGTCGCCGCCGCCACCGTCGTCACCCATCCGCTCGGTCAGCTACCTGCTCTTCCTCTCATCTGTTGCTTGTTATTTTGGGTAATTTGCTATTCTTGAGCAGCCTCTGGTTTCGATTGGGGAAGGACAGCAAGGAAATAGGCATGTATGATTCGGGTGCTAATTCTGGATTTCGTTTTAGTTCCTCCAGTCAGAAGTTCTCGCCTCAACTCTCTGCTTAGGAAATTCCTTGCTAGTTAATATGAGGCCGGCTAGATAGTGTAGCAGCATATACTAATTGGGAAAATGTGCCTAATAAAAGGTTTTAAAAAATGTGCCTAATAAATGCAACTAGGTATTTTCCTGCAGGAAATGAAATGGTTTTAGGTTTCAGTTGTAGTTCAGGTATAACTTCAGCGGTGTTACTGTCTGTGCCAAAAGAGTGCTCATGGGCATGGAATGGTTTTGCTTTATGGTGAAGCATATATATGATTATGATCATTCTTGGCAGGTTGATGCCTTTCTTCTTCCATTAGAAAAAGATTTAATATGCCGCTGGATTCAGCCACTCAAAACATTTAATATGGGTTGATCCCCCCTTTTCAAGAAGGCGACAAATAGTCACGTTATCTGGACTGGAGTATATAACAGTCGTATGAAAAAACAACAACAACAACCACATATGGATGAGGAGAATGTTATACTAAATGTACAATGTTTGAGTAATGTGATAATGTCAAGGATGGCGTACAGGAAAAATTGCACAATCTTCATCCTAAAAGAGTTGGTTATTAAATTCGAATTGCACATTCTTTGATTTTACAGGGTATTTGGTAACTGGTACCAGGACCAAGAATTGAGTACATAGGTCTAAATTGACTTGTATAACAATTATTAACTCTACATTTCTGTGCTTCTAATTTTATTACAAAATACAATATATATTGTTTGTCCAGAAAATAAGTTACTCTTTATATAGGTCTACCACCATTTTCGTCCTGCAGATGTTATCAAAGTCAGGCTTCAAATGCAGCTTGCTGGGCAAAGAGGAAACTTAGTTGGAATGGTACTCACAGCACCTACAGGTTTCATATTTTTCACTTATTCTGATGTTAAATTCATTTCCTAGTTATATGTGTATTGCGAAATATGTTAGGGAACAATATTTACACAAATGGTTGAAGCGGAAGGGACTCGATCACTCTACCTGGGACTTGCACCAGCGTTGACAAGATCTGTTGTGTATGGTGGCCTTCGGTTAGGATTGTATGAGCCCTGCAAGCATGTCTGCAGTTATGCATTTGGTTCAACAAACTTTGCTTTTAAATTTGCATCTGGAGTCATTGCTGGGGGCCTTGCAACTGCTTTAACAAATCCCATGGAGGTTTTGAAGGTACTCTATCTTGATATGAACTCACTTCAGAAGTGTGACTTGTTTTATGTACTGGATCTGAACTGAACACATACTGTAGGTGAGGTTGCAGATGAGTAAAATCAGTACCAGTACAACAGGAGAGATGAGGAAAGTTTTAGCGCATGAAGGGTTCAAAGCACTTTGGAAAGGAGTTGGCCCAGCAATGGCAAGAGCAGGTTGCCTCACCGCATCACAAATGGCAACTTACGACGAGGCCAAGCAGGTCTTTATTATCTGTGTTATATATTTGTTATAAAGGAATAAATTTGTTGTTTACTTCAATATGTCAGTTCTAAGATCTTTCTTCATCTGTATTCATTATAGGCCTTAATGAAGTGGACACCACTTGAAGAAGGTTTCCAATTACATCTCATGTACAGTGAATTCTCTATTTCTATATTATGATATCTATCCTTTAATGAGATGAATGGATGGCTAATCTTTATCTGCTTGGAAGCTCGAGTTGCATAGCTGGAACAGCTGGTACTCTTGTGACTGCACCTGTAGACATGATCAAAACACGGTTAATGCTGCAACGGGAGTCCAAAGGTGCCAGAGTATACAGGAATGGATTCCATTGTGCTTACCAGGTGTTGATCTTAATCTTTCGTTTTGATGTTTGTGGTATTAGGAATTGCTCCTGGTAAAACATTGCTAAAATTACTTTCTATAAGTGCCTGAAAGCACTGCCAAATTGTTAGGGCCTGTTTGTTTGGGCTTCTTGGGAGCTTTTGGACCTTTCAAAAGCCAAAAAAAACTCCCGGATGCCAAAAGCCTTGAGCTCCTGGGCTTTTGGCTTGTGGGAGCTGTTTTGCTTTTGGAAAGTCCAAAAGCTAATTGTCTAAAAATGGCCAAAAGCTCAAACAAACAGGGCCTTAAGCTACTACTTAGTAGTGAACTATTGTCACAAGATGAGAAAAGGAATGTTACAACTGAGGAGATTGGAAATACAATACCTTGAGCACCAACAACATAAAGGTATTCTTCTAATATTTATTTCCATTCTCTTGGCTTGCAGGTTGTGGTGACAGAGGGTGTGAAGTCACTTTATAAAGGGTGAGAACTGCATGTACCACATTTATAATTTTTGTATTGTTATGACAATGGTTGTTTACTCATCAGCTTGATTTGTTAAACATGCTATCTTTATTTGTACTTAGTTTTAGTTTTTTAAACAAAAAATGAACATGCTAGCTTTACCAGCATATCTTGGAAAATGAGCTAATGAAAGACCAGCAAAGTATAATGCTTCACAGATTATCAGCCACAGTTTGCGTCAGAATTATTTAAAGCATTATATTTGGAGTCGAAATTCATGCTGTCTTTCGTTGTTAAATCTCTATATATTGGAAGTGCTTTAGTACATGATTCGTCATGGCACTTGCTATTTCAGCTAATACAAATCTTGACTTACTCAACTTGCATTAATTTTACAGCTTCCCCTCCTAACAAGCTCGTATATTTTCAGCGGATTTGCCATGTTTGCGAGATTAGGCCCTCAGACAACGATCACCTTCGTCGTGTGCGAGAAACTGCGTGAACTTGCAGGAATGACTGCTATCTAGTACCACCCAAAATTGCATAATGTTGGGAGTCCAACAGTTGAACGGCATACTCTAGCCAAATTTTCACATCATTTTTCATTCATCATTCGTGATGAGAAGGGAGAAGATAAGCACCCACTGGGATGTTTAAGGATGGTTAAGCCGAACTACAGATTTGCCATACCACATTCTAAATTTTGAAATGACGTGATTGTAATTATTATCGGTACAATTTATACTTGGCTCTCTCAAAGGAAAAATTTTGTTTCACAAAACGTAGCATATGAATGGTAATAATTTATACTTTGGCGCTGCGCTATTCTCATAGGAAAAAATTGTTTCACAAACATAGCATATGAACGGATAGTTTTTTATGTACTCATCTGATGTGGCACCTAAAACAGTTCTCAATACATGTGACCTTGTGTGCAATCAGATCATAGTCTTGCATTATTCTTCAGAGACCAACATTTTGCATTCAGATCATCTGCCTACCGTGTGGCATTGTCAATGATAGTAACATGAACGCTCACTGTGGATTCGCACTGTGACACGTTTTTTCCTTACTGTGTTGTATCAGCATACATTCAATATCCTTTTCTCCATATTGAGGGTTGAAGGATAACCTGAAACTGATCTAATATGAAATCATTTGGAACACTGAGTATCGAGATCTGGACAACATGTAAACCTGTGCAAGGAACATCAAATTCTCTTGCTTCATAGATGGATTCAGAATTTTAGTGATATATGAACAACCCAAGCCCCTGAAACTAGCTCAATTCTCAGATGTAGTTTTTGGGAGTATTTGGAAATTAGAACAGAATTAAGACTCAGCATAGCCTTAGAGGATCATATCATCTGATTGTACCAAAACACAAACACCATAGAAAACACTATAATGCTTGGATCATCTGATGAAATATGTACATGGACAGTGCGAAGTGTGAACAATGGCACAAACTGACTACTGCAAACATAAGTCATCATATTCTATGCTACCAGCAAAAACTTAGGGATCTCATAAAGTGATTCTGATTCATCACCCAAAACGTTTCTTGTAAGAATCTGGATCCGAAATGTTTCTACGAGAATATGGATCCATACCAAACAGTCCCTTAGTGAGCAGCATACAACACATAATCTTTATGAATTACAAGATATGGTTGTACCAATTGGAACGGGGACTTTTTTCTCCCCCCCTAAACAGAATGGAAAACGTGATCAATACAGAAACAAATGGTGCATTTTCTAGATAAAAAACCTTTTTAATGGATTTTACATATAAAGAGGCAAAATTTAGTTCATGGTATAACAGGAACTAGCTGCTTCTATCTCAACCCTACTTTCAATTTATCTTTCACAGCTTCCCTGACATTCAATTGCAATTGAATGTCAAAGATGATCAGATTCCGAATCAAGATAGCATTAAAAAAATCACTCCATGAGAGTTGTTGCATGTATCTGAAGATTGTTAATCTCCTCATCTGTGAGCGTGAACGTTCCATTGACCTATAGGCTATTCTGTAGCAATGACTTGTAATGCTTTTCTTGTTGATGAAATTATCATTAAGTTTTACCTGCAAACAAAAAAAGTTAATCTCAAAATACTCTGAAGAGCTTTTAAATTCCATTATATGACCAAACTACAAATTCTAGATTGGATGCACAGATTAGGATCCTCATATTAACCAAACAGATGTTGGTTTTTGAAGGTAACGAGATCAGAAGTCCTTATCATGTCTGAAAAATGTGATACCTCCTTTGTTTTATGGTGGAAAAAGGTAGATGAAGCAGCCAGCGGCTTAATCAAGGACAGGGTTAATTCCACTATAATTCTTGGTGCTTGGACTCTATGGAATCATCGGAATCGCTGTGTGTTTGATGGAGCAGCACCTAATCTTGCTGGTAGATTGATGAGTTTTGCTGACGAAAGGCGTCTCTGGGTGATGGTAGGAACTCGAGGATTATCCCTCTTAACTGCCCCGCTCCCTGGAGATTAGGGTTACACTAGTAGAAGGTCAGATTTTTCTTTTGTCCAAGGCACGAATGTAAAAATTTTTACAGTGGGTGTGTGGTGTGAGTTGTAAAGGGCTCTTGCCCTACTTTTTTCTTCTTAATACAATGAAGCACAGTTCTTCTGCGTTTTAGAGAAAATATCGTGCCTGAAAAAGAGTTACCCTATACACATGTATATATGTGGGCACTAGGAATCGGCTAATCATTTAGAGCATCTCATGCAGTTTTGAAAAACAACTCCCTGTTTTGATTTTTTAGCAAAATGGAAAAACTCCTCCAACAATTTAGTAAAAGAGCTCTTTAAAAATAAAACTTGTCAAATATCCTCTCCAACTCGTAAGTTTTCACGGTCGAGAGAAACTCCACATCCGCTCCCTATCTGGCGTTTTTCTTAGGAGATCGGAGTAAATTGGACGCATGAGTAAATGAAAATAAAGAGTTCCGAGTGACAAAAATGTAAGAGACAAATGAACTATTAAAAGATGTTGGGTTCCTGTGAGGGATATACCCCGGGTACCACAAGATGATAGAAGATATAATTTATTAGGATTCTTATAGATGTTGTAATCCAAATAGAATACCTACCATATAGCCGACTAGAATACTTTCCTTATAACTCTACCCCTCTAAAGTATATAAGGAGGGGCACGGGTCCCTAGTCGACATCCAGATCCAGATACAAATCCTAAGCTTTGCCTAGGGTTATCTCATCAATACAAACCAACATAGTACAAGACGTAGGGTTTTACATTATTTTGACGGCATGAACCTGTATAAATCTTGTGTCTTATGTCTCTATTACCATCTAGTTCTTATCACGCACATCTCTACCAAACAATCAACCATCATGGGTATACCTCTTGGTTGACTATCGATGATATTCCGTCGACACGTGACGCGTCAGGTAGTGGTGTGCATGCTGATCCGTGGCGAACCAGATGAGGATTTTCTTCGTCAAATCTCGCGGTGGTGTCCTTCGTCGACGACGTCCGGCGGCGGCAATCTTCGACGGCCTGCGATGAAACCAATGTCCCCAAGGTCTTTGCAGATCGACACGTCCCCGCACGTCTCATGGGTGGCCGAGTCGTAGCGCCGCAATCGCCACAACTACCGATCACGAAGACCGTGTAAGATTGAATCGGTGTTTTTGGCGGCGGTTGTCAGGCGCACTACCTGGGTGCCCTCAAACGCATCTAAAGAGTAAATTTGTTGTTAGGTACAGCGGCGGCCTCGTGGGTGGCCACGTCGTTCAAAATTTTTTCGGCGATCCTCAATCCAACGGTCTTTGCTCTTCTCATGCCAAAATATATGCGGCTAAAACCCTAGCTCCACATTCCAAATCCACTTCTCCTCCCTCTCGCTCCTCTCCCAGCCGATGGCTCATCTCATCAGGCGGCGCATATGGCGGGCGCTTGATTGGCGAGGTGGCCTCTGCCCCCCGACCATGGCGGGCAGATCCGCCTGGCGCGGGCGCTCGGGCCTGGTCCCAGACATGGCGGGCGAGGTGCCCTCGCCACCACGCGTGGGCGGCGAGGTGGCCCGGCCGTGGCTGCTCCCGGCAAGGGCGCTCGATGGGCTCTCGGCGCGGCGGCGGCTCCACCGCGCGCGGCCGGCGCTGCTCCCCGCGCCACGGCCTCCGGGCGGGTGGACTCAACGCCGTCGCGGGCTACAACGTCGAGCGAACTTGAGGTACCGGTGTGGGGCTGCGGCCGTCGATTCCCATCAGCGCCATTGTTGCTCTTCTTGGCTCGCTTCTGATGTCTGTCTCCTTCCCTCATCGCTTGAGGCAGACCATGGCGAAGCGCTTGATTAGGTGGCATCGCAGCCCCACCATGGCGGGCGATCCGATCGCCCCTGGCGCGTGCCGTGGCCTCGCCCCCAGACATGGCAGGCGAGGTGCCTCGCGGCCGGCGGCGGCGGTGGGTGGTGGTGGCGCTGCTGCTCCCGGCAAGGGCGTGGCTCGATGGGCCCTCGGCGCACGGTGGCTCCACCGCGGAAGCGGTTGCTCCCAGCGCCACGGCGCTCGGGCGGGAGGTGGACTCAACGCCGTCATCGCGGCGACAACGTCGAGCGAACTTGAGGTAGCAGCGGGGGGCTGCGGCCGTCGATTCCCCATCGCGCCATTGTTGCTCTTCTTGGCTCCGCTTCTGATGGCGATCTCCTTCCTCATGTTCATTGATCTCTAATTCTCTATGATGTTTTTGTCCTCCCTCCCTATTTGCGCCAGCACGCCGCCTGTTTCTTCCCGTTCGCTGCCTGTGTCTTTCGCCGCCTTCCTCAGCATCACCTCTACCACCACCATCCCGGCGAAGCCAATAGCATCGCAAGCATGCCTCTTCCACTCGTGGGTCATGTCAGTTAGGTGTTTGATGTAATGCCATGAAACACCATGGTGCAGCAAGGTGTCATGACCGGTCAAGCCATGGCGCGAGTCACAGCTTCATTCATTTGATTGGGCTCTTGCCGTCGTGACTTGCCAAGAATGGAGCAAATGTGG